TCATCATCATCATCATCATCATCATCATCATCATCATCATCATCATCGTCTACATAATATTGACATGCATGGGCACCGGGTTGGAAACGTGTAATATGTATCGATTGTAAAACTCAGCGCGAGTAGAGGTTTGGTTTCCGATCCGGAGGCGAATCAACATGTCAATCACAGTTTCTTCAAGCAAAGGGCTAGTGGCTAGCTTCTAGTCTGATCTTTGTGGTGGTTCTACAAGTGCTCATGGTGCATTCAACAAAGGGTCCTCATGTGTGAAATGACACAATATTAAAACACATGATTAAAATTGCATTACTGAAAGTACGTACTCGGATTTGCGAATCTCACGTACCTTTGCTTGACATCCATGTTTGTTCAACATCCCGGTGGCAGATTCTTCAACACGATACACAGGTCTGGTGGTACCCTCCCCCAGTGAAACCCAGGATCCAAAAGGATCCAAAGACGTATTACATAGTACTCCATGAAGTGTTCAATCCATCGATCTTCATCCTTCTCATGAGGAGGTTAAGCTTCCAATGCCAAGCTTCCTTCAGCTCATCCAGCTCATCCCTCGTGCTTCCACTGAGGCTCCACACACTGCGGCTGCGCCGCCGGTGCCCCGGCCCGGAGCTCAACGTCACACCCCGCCGCACCGGTTCCGGTTCTCGCCGGGGCGCCGGTTCTCGCCGGGGCGGGCCGGGGCGACCTGGAGCATGAAGCTCAGCCTGAGGAGTGAGTTGATGTGAAGGCTTTCGTAGCGAAGAGAGGCAAGCTAAGGGGAGCTATAAGCAGATAGCTGGCCATTTTGAGCATTTGGGCCCAGGAGACTGATAAGATGGTTTGAATGACGGTCCATCAGCATCGGACGGAGCAAGTATTGATGCCGGATGGCTTCATGAACAATCTGGGCCTGCATAGTTTGCATAGTGTTTGGAGAGGCCGGAGCCCTACTATGGAGGATCCAACAATTTCTTAGGGTATCATGATCCCTATTAAGTCCAAAGACCCAGTAAAACCTGGTATTTTGCCTCCTTAAGTATCCTTAAGTAGTGTTTGTGTATGACCAACTCCAGTATTTCATGAGCTCATTGACTTGTAGGGGATCTATGATGTTCACTTTGGGGTATCAGCGTCTTGGGATGTCTTCGGTGCGCTTTTCTGCCAACCAACCGTTCGGGGACCAACCGCCTGGGAGTCTTCTCGCCGAGTCTTCTCTGAATTCCTTTGGGTCACGAATCCTCCAGACCCTGTGCAATTTCGATCCTCCACTCGTAGGCACACGATCCACTTCTTGCTCATGCCTGGATGAGATCCACTTCTTGGTCATGGATGAACTGTCCAAGCTGAGCTGGTTCTTTGATGTCCTTTTGGCTCCCTTCCACCACGAACATAGGACAGAACCTTCGGACCTCGGAAACCACAGGACCAGGGTCTAAACCTCGGACCCGCAAGGGTGGTTCATGAACACCTCCTCACTCTTAACCTCCACCCTAGGGCTCAAAAAGGGCTCCAGTCGTACCTCCTCAGAAGGTAGTTGGACCCTCTCAACCCACCCCAGTCCCACCTTCTCAGAAGGTATGACTGGAGCCCAAACGGGCCCTAGGGATTAAACACATTGTGTCAATGCACGCCACCACCGACAGCGCTCTTTTCGCCTGCAAGGAGGACAGCGGTCGTCCCGGTGGCCGACTGCCCAGCCTGAAGTCGCGGACGGGCCCAGCAGGATCGAAGAAGAAGACGGATCGATGCAAGAGATGGTATCCCTAGGGATCCAAGATGATCCAAGTACATCCTCAGAAGGCCCTGGCACCTACATCAACAGTCTCCAATCACCTTCTGACAGGGTACTTGGATCCCTAGAGTATGAGAGGTTGAGAGACCTGAACGTTCGGACCCTGGCTTGTGGTACATATGGGATGGGCATGGATGGACTAGGATGGGCTGTTCAACCTGTGCTAAAGCATGCAGGAGTTTCGTCCGTCAACCGCTTCGTTGTGCAGCAAATCCAAGACCTCACTCATTGAAACGTCCACATCGCTAGGTAGACTATATCTTCCTTTGTGGTATATCCACTTCGTCACGAATGCTTCTTCCAGGGCCGTGCGTATCAATAAACCGGCGTGTGGATCCTTTTTCGGCGAAGCATCGAGTTCCATGTCCTCTCCCAAACAATCCATGGGCCACATGTGCCGCCCCATCGACCCCCCGGTCACCACCCCTGGCCGTTTCTCGGCTGTCCTGGCAGTCCCATGTGTGAAATCTGGGTCTCCCCAGTGGCTCTGGTGGCTCGACCAGTGCCCCCACCCAAAACACCGGCGTGTCCGTCTCGTTGGGGCCCCGGCCGGGGTCGGGGAGCAAAGCTGAGGGCTCCTGTCGGGTCGGCCGCTGGGAGCGGCGGAGCGGATCTGAGGCCACGCCAGGCGACTGAGGCCACGCCAGGCGACTGAGAGGAGGAAGCGGATGCGACTAGTCCAAGAGGAACGTGCCAGGGAACTGGATGCAATGAAGTGCCAGTGATGCAATGGGGTGGGTCTCATGAGCTGACTAGTCCAACCTACCCTGGTGAGTTCGGGGCGGACATGGTGACCATCCATGACCCACCAGGGTAGGTGGACATGAACATGGAGAGGCGTCGACGGAGGCTCGGTGGTGAGCCAGCCGTGTGGTTTGGGGGAAGCCCGTAGTAGAGAAAATCTCTCTCTCTCTCTCTCAGACACGACGCTCCATGGCACTGGCACTGGCTTGCATTTGCATAGATTGGGGTGGTTGATTTCAGGGATCGATAGAGGGTTTCATATGCCATACATGGATGGTCGGGGCTCTCTCTCTCTCTCTCTCGCGTGCTCCTGTCTGGGTATAGAATCGAGGGAGGGAGGGAAGGGAGGGAGAGACAGCGTTGGGGCGTTGGGCCAAAGGCTAAACCGTTGGGATTCCTTTGGGTCGCCCCAGCAAAGTTTAGAGGCTGAATCCCGAACAAGCATGACAAACTATGGTTTTACCCCTTTTTTGTTTAAGGATTCTACACTAGAAAACAACATCCGGAATGCTCTTGAGAGTCGTTTCGGTTGGTTTCGAACGTGCCAGGGACATACCCAACATGGGATGCAACATGGATCAACACAAGATCCAACATGTGATGTGTTGGATTGGATATAACAATACCTGGACCTTCTAAGGGGTGTCCAATAGAGGTCCCTTAGTAGTGTAGGGGCTTCCAGCCAGGTGACCCCGACATGAAGGTGCTGGTATATGGTAAAATCATGCGCTGGACATGGACGTTTTGTGCAAGTAGACCAAAAAAACATGAATCACATGCACCCAACAGTTGGGCGGGGGGTCTATGTCTACCATCTCAAACAGCGTCGATTCCTTCAACAGCCAAAAGCCGTGACATGTGGTGACCCTGCATGGCTCATGTGGATGCAAAAGCATTGACTCGAATCGAACTTGTGACTTGCGAACCAATTGAATGACCAAACACTGCATGAGACTGGCATATTTACCTACATTGGGGTGGTTGATGTTCAGGGGTCAATAGGGGGTTTTATATGCCAGTCCCATCCGTCATGTCTGGGATAGACCACAGGTCTTAGACCAAGTCCCAATAGGGAACATCAAAAAGATCACCTTATAAGGCAAAACCAGGAAGGTCTGTAGCGAAAAAGTAGTAACCAGGATAACTGTTGTTCATTTTCCAAAATAACCTTATGCAAAAAATAAGTGTCTCATCACAACACGCAAAGCTTTGCCTCCTCGGACCACAGGCGATGGAAGGGCTGCACGAGCGGAGCGGAGTTCGTTCTTTTTTCGCGCGCGCGGGGGGGGGGGGGTGCGACCAAAGGAAGGTTCAAGGATGGTTTTATGAATGTAGGTGTGTGTGTGTGTGTGTTTAATCGTGTTCACTGCCTTTTGGGATCTCTTTAGATGCACCAAGACCCAGCTCTTTAGTCACCCGGAAGGATTGGTTGGGAGTTGGAAGGATGGATGGTTGGGCCATCCCTACATGACAAAGCATGTTGACATCGAAGCACACAAGTGGTCATGGAAGGGATGGTGAGACGGATCAACACTATATAGATCTTATAGTATAGTTATACTATATATATATATGTATACGGTATACCTACTATAGGAATCGATATAAAGGAATGAGGAAGGGAAGGAAAAGGAAGAAACACATCTACCAGAACCTACTCTACCACTCTACCTGTTCCCATTTTGTTGTGTATTTACCGCGTGATGCTTACTGCAAAAGTTCTGCCCACCCTGATGCAGGTGTTGTTTCTGTGTTTGTAAGTTTCTCTTGATCTGCAGGTGTTGTGATTCCAGTTGCGATTCCGTTCATGTCGGGTTCTTGTGAATTCTTTTCGTCTTCCCCAAAGCAACAAAACAAACATCCCAAAGGTCACCAGGGATCAGGCCAGCAGTCTTATGAGAAAGAACACCAGTATTCACTTTCACTCAAGGCTTCCCTACCTTATCAAAAACAAAAACAATGGGTCAACGATGTTCAACGGCAACACGTAGACACAGCAAAGCTATAATCCCCAGGAATCCACATACCCTCTGAGACGGTGATTGGACCCTCCAAACCTAAATAAAAGAGTCTCCAATCACCTTATCAGAGTCAGGGTATGTGGATCCCTAGGGAATATGCTGTATACTATACTTTCTTCAAACCTCGAACGTTCTTTTCCTGGTCCAACCTTGCTTGTGCGGAAGGGAATCCTCAATGAGCTAGAGGCTAGAGGATCTGACCGGTTTAACATGTTCCTTCGATGGTAGTGCCAGGAGAAACAGGTGCATTGCATTGCATGCTAAGTGTTGTTTCCTAAATCCAGGACCAACCCACTCCAACGATTGGACTTTAAACAGTTGCCGTGGCCCGGTGCAACAGAAAACATCATATCAACACATCCCCCCAAAAAAAGAAGAAGAAGAACAACAACAACATCAACAACAACAAGAAAAATGAAAACAAAAAAAAACAAGCATCACCCGTTCCGTCTCCCCCAAACACCACCGCTTCCCGTTCGCATCTCGCCTCCATAGACGGTGAGTGATCGGGTCGCTGGCCACGAGCCCAAGGGCCTTGGGACCGTGGAGACCGATAGCTCCGTCCCTCGGTGTCCGATGTCAGTTGGGGAAGAGAAGGTCTTTTGAAGGGGAAAGGGTGTGTTGGGGAAGTTCTGGATGATTCAGCCGGTATGTTTTGAGTATATGTTTGGCAGTTCTGCTGTGTTGGTGGTTCTATTGAAATGTGGAAAACGCTTGCTTGTATACTGTATACTATAATTGTCCCCTTTGGATGGATACACACATACCAAAGCAGTGGCAAGTGTTCTGGAGCTGGATCTATCAAAACCTCGGCAGAAGCCTCCTGCAGGACTATCTGGGCTGGACCTGTGAAAAGCTGTTCCCAAGTACCAACTCCCTGGGGCTCATCTCTTGGGTGCATCAAGAGGGCTCCAAGTACCTCCTCCTCAGGTATTTGGACCCTCCTGACACCCGGGCCCCCCAGTCCCACCTTCGAAGGTACGACGGGTGTCGCCCACACGGGTCGCCCACACCGTCGCCATTCCACGGTTCGAAGAAACACACACGCGCACACACACACACACACACTTACGATCTACGCTCCATCAGACTGGTGTATTTACCTCCCAGGATATTATAGGATGGTTGAGCAGTCAGGGGTCAATAAATATTTGCAAAGGTGCAAATAATTGCAAATACTTGAGACCATCCATGTCTGGAATAGTTACATACATGTACCCCATGAGAATGACCCCAATGTAGGGTACGTGACTATTCCATACTTACATGGTTCAGCCTCTCTTGACATCCACTTCGGGGGTAAAGGAGGGTGCCCGGCGATGGACCGATGACCCCATCAAACCACACCCCAGCAGCGCCAGAACCAGGTCTTCTGTCTGGGAAAAATCATGGGAACACTTCCCTGGTCAAAACCGCCAGATGAAGAGGAACCTGGAAAACCATCTAAAACCTAGGACCGCCTGGTACCAGGAACTGCTTTTTACTCCACCCTCTCCCCGTAGAGGAAGAACCTGCCCACACCCACTGGGCACATCACGCGCGAAAGGCGGGCACTGCCTTGCCAAATAGAGCGATGCTCTGGCACGACCGGGCCCGGGATCGGTGTCAATCTGCGAGGAACTTGGGGTGGGGCTCGGCAGGATGGGGAGGATGCGCGGGAAGTGATCCTTGGAAGTGGGGTGCTGGGGTGATCACTTTGTCACATCCATCCTGGATCATCTGGTAGGGAGGCTTTGGAGCACAGGATGTTGTACTCCAAATCCGCACCACTACTTGCAGCACAGGATGTAGCTCAAAATCCGAGCACAAATCCTGCAGAAGGTCTGCTTAGCTTTGGGACGCCAAATTCTGGTCCAAAAAGGGTGCGTTGTGTCATGGATTGGGTAACGCCTTCCCGAGGCTTCGGCGAACTGCTGCAGCCAACTGCTGCAGCAAAGCGAACTCCGCACGGGGTCGCGGTTTGTGCCGGGCCTCAAGTCACTAGAAGGGTGTCGGACTTTGCTGTCTTCCACTCTGAAATGCTGAATTCACATGGTGAGGTTGTAGATTTGGAAGCAGGATGAAGCATGGTGAAGGTGAAGCCAAGTGTTCGCAGCTGTCGATGAGTGCGGGAAAGGGGCTGCTTGTGACATCTGTATCAAC